ATTGTTTAACATTTTTCGGCCTTTTCGCTCGATCGGTCGTTAATCAATTGGAAAATTGGGTTACGCTTGCCCGTTGTCCATTCGACGGACACGTCGACGCTCGGACACAACGACACGGCGAGCTAATAAGTTATTAATCCGGGAGACAATAGCCGACAAGTTCGCGAAATTGTCCATGTGCTCCCAACCGGCTCGAACAAAGCTTATCGATCCGTATTGGCTGGGACACACTGTATTTCCCTCGAGTATGTCGCGACCAGAGCGCAATAACTTGAACGGGCGACCACGCGAGACCACCGGTGAATTGCACAGACGCGTTGAACTCGATTTTCGACGCTTAGGCGAAGGCGTCGCGTCGTTCCAGTAGATTACCGACCTGCCACCCAAAGAAAAGGGCCACGCCGAGTGGTGTTCCCTGGAATTCGGTCAAGAACCGACCCATCGATCGGCTTTAACATAGTTTGTCGTCCCTTCCCAGCGACAGACTCATCAAACTTCTAATGAAACTCGATTGTCATTAATACATTGGCTTTTGCATAGGAAGGAAATTTCTATATTTAAATTTCACATAACATGTACTACGGAATGCATTTTTAATTTTACACAATCGTATTTTGTACGTATAACCCGAATGAATAATGAATTATCTTAATAATACGAACAGTGAAATAATAAGAACTGTTACATGAATGAATGAATTGTTTATATTTTAATTCCATCAAAGAGGAATTCGTACGAATTTTATGCTGAGGTTTATTGAATTAATGCTTTTGTATATTTGATCAAATCTCACTTCGCTCGTTCGAAGCTCTTTCATGAAATCAGTAAACCTTGTTCTACTTTGAATAACAATTTTTATTAATCTCGTGCACTTCTAATGCTTTATCAATTGTTACCTTTCGCTTAAGTACTAATGAAGTAATTAGTATAGATTTTCGTATTAATCATAAAAACGTGGAATATGAATGATGTCTATCGATATCTCGCGGACGAAGAGTCACGTCTTTGTAAACGGGCGACCCTTTGTCCCATCGAAACGTAGCCGAGGAATCCAGTTCCTTTGTAGCCGCGACGCGTCTCCGTGCATTCTTCTCGCGGGGTTTTCACGGGCCCGCGAAGCCCGGAAATCCTCGACGCCGGTAATGGCCATCGGGGGCCGGGGGTTGTTGGTGGAGGGCTCGCGGAGACAACGATTAAGCCTGACTCCTTCTTCTTCCCTCCTTTCTTCGAATGATATTCCAAAGGAGATAGCTCTGAACGGATTCCATACAAGGTTTCAATGGGAGGTCGCATGGCATTTATGAAACCGACGCTTTCGAAGATATCTCCCAGACTTCATTCTCCAAAGATAAAAGAATTTCTCCGATTTTTTTTCACTCCTCTGTATACCCGCGATTTTCCAAGACCGACTGTCTCTCCGCAAGGAACCAGAGTTTACCATCGGATAGCTGGAAAATTTGAATAATGCGAAGGAGTAAGGAGCTTTATTATCGTCGCGGAATTTCTTCACTCCTCTTCATCGGTTTTCCCTTCCCTCCTTTTTTCCTCTCTCTCTCTCTTCTTACGCCTCGACGGAGCCGGCATTCAATCGGCAGTCGAATGCTGGAGGGATATTCCAGAAACATGTTCAATGGGGAATTCAATAGAACGGCTGAAAATACTTATACATTTTACATGGCCGTGGGAAGAGAAAGAATCCCGTTGGAAGAATGAACCTCGATCGAAGATTTTCTCGGGGGAATCGAATCTGCCGGACATGAACCCCGCTCCCGCTGTTACTCCATTTATAGCTAGAGGGGCAGCTGCTTTTTCCTTCTGATTATCTTAGCCCCTGAAGGTTTTTAACCCAGATCCGAGAGGTTCAAGGCGCCCGAATAATTACAGGATTTCATCATTCCCTTCGGAACAAAACGAATTCCTTCTGCACTCACAGCTATCAAAGTTTTCCGTAGCGAAGCGCCCTTGCTTTCCTTTCACACCGTTTCGAGTGGTTCGAGCACGGAAAATACGATGCTTGACACGAATCTCGCTTTGAATTCTTCCCGTGAAAGATTCCCTTCAATTCTTTCACGATCCTACAACGAATCCAGCCTCGAAACGTGACTTTAATCCCGAACTAACTCAATTCACAGCCAAGGTGTAATCAATTGCAGTGCAGGTGCAACAGTAAACATGCTCATTACGCAGTTTAGATTCAGATAAATTTTGCATCCACTGATTTTTCAGCTCGTTAATATCTGATTTAATATCCGTGACACGCGACGTGTAATTATTCACTTATCTTCCGATCACGAATTCTCCTTGCCAACAGCGTTAATAATCGTTTCACTCGGCTTTCTGCACGAACGGCGATAAGGTCACAAAACTAATTCTATTACCGTCGCACGTAATTTATTTGCTTCCATTAGTAACCACGGTTTTCATCAAATAATAGATAATAAATAGCGGCGCGAATCTTCCACACAAAATTGAATCGCACATCGAATCCATCAACCATGACCGGTAATGGAATCGATTATTGTTTAAATTCGTCGAATAATCAAATGGTAAATGACGCGTTGCCACGGTCAGAGAGGTTGACCCGCATGCGGGAACCGTGTCCCCGTTTCCGCTTCGTTTGTCTCACGTTTTTCCGTTGCTTTATTTTTAATTCGTCGCGCGACAGTGAAATATTATGAGCGAAATTGTCCGGTCGGACGCGATTCGCGCTGGTATCGACGCGCGAACAAACCGCCGCGCGAGAACCCGGGGCGGACGCGGATCGACGTTCCAGATCAGATACGCGTGCATTAATCAATTGTATAGAGCGGGTCTCGTTCGATGGGCGAGCACAATACGGGAAGGAAGCACTTTGTAATTTATATTCCCCGCTCAATCGGTGGATTTTCGCGGATACCGCGGATAAGTGCAGCATAAAAATATTTATACGAACGCGATGCCGATAGTCTGTCAAATATTGTCGAGTCGATGGACTGGAAATTTTTAGTGAACGCGAACGATCGCTCGATCGCGTAAATCTATTTGGAAATCTCGTAACGGCCCGGGGATTTACATTCCTTCCGTTCGAGTTGCTCGATAACCGACGAGCCCCGGGTTTCTGAACGGGCCTGCACTGAATTTTACGAATTTCGCATTGTGCAATTTTATACGATACTTCGTTCGTTGCCGAGTGCAAGCCCTGTCGACAATTCGGTGAACGATCGCATACTTATATTTCGTAATGCTTATTGAGGATGCAATAATTTCCTACATACTTTGGAGAACCGCATAAAAAATTATTTNAATCATTTATATATATATCTTATTACAATGATTATGAATTAATGAAAACCACGGAGGGAGAATAGAAAGGCGAACTCGCTTAAGCCAAGTCCATTTTAAACCAGCTAATTAATGGAATATGAATATTCCAAAGGACAAGGAACTTTTCGGGACTTATTTAAATATTGAAGCCCGGGATTAAAGCAGCGCGCTTCGCACGAATTTCGACGCATATCATAAATTTTTATTACACCCGGGACACATGAACCCACGGACGGGATCGGTCGCGTCTGTTCCGGTGGCGGCGAAATTAATCCGTTCGTTGCCGATAATTAGTCGAGGCGAGGGGGCGTAATCTCGGCTAAGGAGCGTTTAGAGACAATTAATCCGACCCGGGGCAATTATCGTCAACGTCGTTTCGCAAGACCGATGGTGATCGATCGGAAAGAAGTTCCATTTACGGATAAGGCGGAACTTCCGTCGTGGCCGCTCGGGTGACGTGGATAAATTCAAGTCCCGCCGGACAATTTTATCGTGTAAATTAATGCCCCTCGCGGAGTTCACGGCTCTCCCGCTTTCAATCATCCCGAATGAAGAGCGCAACAACGACGCGGAGTCGCTTCAAAACACAAAGCCGGGAAACAAATATAATCCGTGAAGCGGAATGGACAGGTCGGGAGATGGATCGGTCTTAATAAACTCCTTAACGTACGGTGAATTAAAACAGGCAGCGAAAAGGGAGCTCGTAGAGGGGGGAGGGGGCGGAGGGGAGATAAATTCTTGCGGGAGCTTTATTCGCCGTTGAGTAAAACGAATCTCGGCAAATAAAATTGATTATCGAAGTTGCGAAAGTTCTCGGATAAAATTATGAGCGGTAGGAAAACGTTGCCTCCAGCAGAGTTCGTTCCCCCGTGCTGATAAAATCGTTATTGTCGACGCTTTTCTCTAAATTTCTTTCACCAACACCATTCGACTATCGCGAAACTTGATTCAATTTCTCACCTTTCACCGGATGATTCGTAATCGGAACCGTTACTCGATGCACTCTATTGCCTAGCCGTGAATATCGAGGAATCGTTTAGGGAAATAGCCGCTGCGCAAGAAGCTCGTCAGACGGCAATCAACTCGCGGGTAGAAAACACGATTATAAGTGTTTCGTAGCCGCGGTGGTAAGCATCGGCTACCGGCTGTAATTACGTTCGTGAAATTTTCCAAAGGTATAATTGATGCGGCATAATTAAAAGGGTGCTTAGTAAATATTCCAGTTCGCGACCCGGTGCCGCGTCGTTCAACGCCACCGTCTGTGGTTCCCGTATGGAGTGGCAAACTGTTCCATATTGAACGAGAAGCCATTCCGCGTTTGAAAAGTTTACGTATGACTGACAGTCCTCTAGGACGACGTTTTTGCCGCTCTTTAACTTAATTAAACTCCGTAACTAAACACTGGACGCTTTCATTACGTTTCGACGATAAAAGAAAGGAATCAGTGGCACGCTATTTGTTTCAATGATTGCTGCGTAAATCCTAAAAAGAACATTCTGTCTCTCTTTTAACACTAAAAAGACTGAAACTTAGTATATACCTATATTGCCGGAAGCAGTCAAAATGACTGCATTGTGAAAGAATAATGTNAATTTATGCATTATTATTTGTACATTTGCCCAAAAGCAGTCAAAATGACTTTCTTGGGCAATCTAGTGTTAATTCGATTGCTAATTCAATTTACCGTCGTGTTACAGGTGCAATATTTACGGACGACCAAAAGGACAGCCCGTCGGAATTGGCGTTCAAGTATGCCATCTATAAAATCAATAAGGACAAAACTCTCCTGGCGAACACGACGCTTGTCTACGATATTCAGTATGTGCCTAAGGATGATTCGTTCAGGACGTCGAAAAAAGGTATGAAACAAACGTGACTGCTGAGGTGCAGTATAAATTAATAGAAAACTACATACGTATGATACATAGGAAATTGATATAAACGTATAAAAATAAATATGGATATTTGATATAAAGAGGAGACTTAAGAATTCTGAACACTTTCCTCGAGTATTTCTGATCGTATCGAAAACTATTTGTCCGGAGTAAAAGCGCAATCAGTCTGAGACACGGAAACGTTAGAACTGAGATAAGGCACGTATTCCGTATCTGATAAGGAGCGGCCGTTCTCGAGTACTTCCATTTCGACTCCTTATATTTCGAAGTTTAATAAACTGCTGGGTGTTACGTGCTCGCCAGCCGGATTTCCTTCCCGTTGTTCGATCCAACGTTCGCGCCGCGGCTCTGATTTCCATCATCGATACGGCAGCCTCGTAACCCTTTTACGCTCGAGTCTATAACTCAAACCGCGGAAGTTGGCACGTAAAAACGGTGCCAGTCGTCATTCGGTCCGCGGGCCGCCGACGCCGCGCCGGCTCGACAATAATGTCAAACACCGAGAAACGAGATAAGCGTAGATCAAAGTATTACTCTCTTTCGTGAGCTAGTAAAATTTCCTGGATGTCTTAAAATATAGAGATACGAAAAGTGATAAAATAAATACAATAAATTATTTTGTACGACATAATTAATTCTTATTTACTTCAACTATTAGCTTTAATTATATGATTTCTTCCATTCAATCGCATGATTTGTTGTATCATTCACTGTCAGATTTTCTAGGGGACGATCTAGTAATTATCACGGGACCATTTAAATTTCTTTCAGCAGTCTTTTTGTTCCGTTCGATCGAATCTCGCTGGAGAATCTAATTTTCCTCGCAGGGTCGATCCACTTCCCCTACAGCTCGAGCGCTGAGTGCCGATATACCTTGTAATCCTAACAGGCAGTTCTCAGAAATTCATCGAGTCTCGGGTCGATTTCTCTCTCCGGCACGGTGAATTCAATTTTCCCCGCGGGGGAAAGAAAGGCTTTGTCCTCCTCTCCGAGGGAGACGCGGCGATTTCCACGCGTAAATGACAATTTTTCGAGCCGCACAGATCGGATTTATGCACGTAAACGAGTTGCGGGGAGAACAAGAAGAAATGGGAATAAATGCGTCTTAATCCCGTTAGAGGACTCATGCTGCTATTTCTCTTGCTTTCAAATTACCTGACAGGATTCTGTAGCGATGATTCTTATTTAAAGAAGCAATTTATTTTATATGTAATATTGATAACCGGAAAATTCTGTATTAACGTACAATTTATAGGAATAAATAAATTCTTTATACATTTCATTATTTTATAAATTCATATGATTTATTTCACTGTTTCAATTAATTTCTACCAAACAAACGTCAACGTCGTGGCAAAGATTTTTTTTTTTTCTTTTACAAAACTGGTTAGAGAAAGATTTGTGGCAGGAATCGGCTTTAGTACGATCTGCATTAATGGTGGTCACAAGAATTTCCCGGAAAAATAGTGAAAAAGACCGATTCTCTGTTTTCGCGTTCCATTCTCGCGTCAAAGGTATTTGTGGTATTGAAAAGGTCCCGCAAAAAGGACGAACGGTTGACGTTTAACGGTGAATAAATCTGAACAAACGCGCTAGCTCGGCACCGCGTCGGTGGCATCGGGACGCAGCGGTGTCCTGTCAATTTCTAGAAATTATGTTCTCCGCTAGCATTCGCCAGCTGATTTTCCTCTCCCGGCATGTGTGCAATTACTGGTTCAATTGAGGGAAAAATGAACGCGTGCATGAATGATTTATTTCGCAGTTCACCGATTAAATCCTCACGCCCGAGCGAGCGATCATCAAGCGAGCAAGAATTTTTCCCGTAAATAAAAGCAAAATGAATTTCGCGAGAGGACTCTTAGAATCGTGTTAGAACGCAATCATCGGTTTATTCAGGTTTGATAATTGAAAGATAAATACTGTTGGATGACTAAAATGTTTTTCTCCTAGTTATCTCTAGTTTAAGAAGCGTATTTTAAAGATTAGTCACTAAGGTCGAAATCCACCCTGAGTCACAGGGTTAGAAGTGACCCTCCCCTTCCTATAGCTAGGATATATATATACATCCGCCGAATCCTAAGACAGCAGATTCAGCCTGGACTCGATACTAACCGCATTTGTACTGAATTCCTCTACGTTGTGCAGTATTTTGGAAATATAGTGTTACACTCAACCGAGCCTAGTTTCCTTACGAATCCTGAACACAACAATACACATAAATTTATGCGACACTTATATTAAAAATCTGCAACGTCTAAACAATCTGAAACGGGACATTAGCCCTCACTGGAGATATACTCGGCACGGGACATTAAGCTCGGAAAAAAGGAACGAAAGGGTCGGCATCGAAGATTTATCACGCGACGAAGGGACGCAGACAGAGGACGAAGCGGGGAAGTACGTATAAAATGGAAGGGCAAGTTCGCCTTGGAAAATGGGAAATCTTTTCAGACGAGGCTGGAATACCTTTAAAACGCTGAAGCGTACGGCGGGTACGGGACGTCAGCGACGGAGAGCTCGCCGGCAGCATATTTATGACGCTTGTAGACCGAGCCGGTCTGGGTTTTCGGGTTTCGTCCTGGCAAAATGGAGATCCTGAAGGGGTGTCGGCGGTCACACGCCGTCGAGTAACCGCGGTTTGGTCTACCACCCTCGAAACGAGTGTACACCACCGTTCTCTGTCCCGTTCGTTGACGAGGGTGAATTTCGCGGGCTAATTTGCCTGAGGATAATTCGTCCCGGCGCGCTGCCCCGACTAATTGTAAGAATCACTGGCGCGGAATCACCGTGTAATTATTTCATAAGGAGTGTTTATTTGCCCGTGTAAAGTTAATTAGAGTGCGCTCGACGCCTTGTATCCGCCAGGAGAAGAAACATTCGTTTAAATCCTTGATTTGAATTCCCGCAACGCTCGTAAAGCCGAGCTTTCGTTAACAGAGTCACTTTGAACTCGAAAATGTTTGATATCTTTTGATCTCGTTCAGACGTCGCACGAGTGCAATCGGATTTCTAGACGGAATAATCTGAAGCGATAAGAAAAATTTACCGAACGGCGTAATCTGATCAAATTTAATTGGACGACGTTTTTGAAATGCCGATGTGACTCCGTCGAATAAAACGCTAGCTCCGTCCTCGTTCCCGACAAGCAGGAACAGATATTCGGACTAGAACTTTGTTGCGAATTTATCGACATCCGGCTGGATTTACTGTTCCCAATTTACGCCCACCTACGATCGGCAAGAAACATTGTTATGGTCTCGCGGAACCGGCTGCGGAATTATTTTGCATAAATTTCACCTTATGACCTCCCNGCATTAATGGTGGTCACAAGAATTTCCCGGAAAAATAGTGAAAAAGACCGATTCTCTGTTTTCGCGTTCCATTCTCGCGTCAAAGGTATTTGTGGTATTGAAAAGGTCCCGCAAAAAGGACGAACGGTTGACGTTTAACGGTGAATAAATCTGAACAAACGCGCTAGCTCGGCACCGCGTCGGTGGCATCGGGACGCAGCGGTGTCCTGTCAATTTCTAGAAATTATGTTCTCCGCTAGCATTCGCCAGCTGATTTTCCTCTCCCGGCATGTGTGCAATTACTGGTTCAATTGAGGGAAAAATGAACGCGTGCATGAATGATTTATTTCGCAGTTCACCGATTAAATCCTCACGCCCGAGCGAGCGATCATCAAGCGAGCAAGAATTTTTCCCGTAAATAAAAGCAAAATGAATTTCGCGAGAGGACTCTTAGAATCGTGTTAGAACGCAATCATCGGTTTATTCAGGTTTGATAATTGAAAGATAAATACTGTTGGATGACTAAAATGTTTTTCTCCTAGTTATCTCTAGTTTAAGAAGCGTATTTTAAAGATTAGTCACTAAGGTCGAAATCCACCCTGAGTCACAGGGTTAGAAGTGACCCTCCCCTTCCTATAGCTAGGATATATATATACATCCGCCGAATCCTAAGACAGCAGATTCAGCCTGGACTCGATACTAACCGCATTTGTACTGAATTCCTCTACGTTGTGCAGTATTTTGAAAATATAGTGTTACACTCAACTGAGCCTAGTTTCCTTACGAATCCTGAACACAACAATACACATAAATTTATGCGACACTTATATTAAAAATCTGCAACGTCTAAACAATCTGAAACGGGACATTAGCCCTCACTGGAGATATACTCGGCACGGGACATTAAGCTCGGAAAAAAGGAACGAAAGGGTCGGCATCGAAGATTTATCACGCGACGAAGGGACGCAGACAGAGGACGAAGCGGGGAAGTACGTATAAAATGGAAGGGCAAGTTCGCCTTGGAAAATGGGAAATCTTTTCAGACGAGGCTGGAATACCTTTAAAACGCTGAAGCGTACGGCGGGTACGGGACGTCAGCGACGGAGAGCTCGCCGGCAGCATATTTATGACGCTTGTAGACCGAGCCGGTCTGGGTTTTCGGGTTTCGTCCTGGCAAAATGGAGATCCTGAAGGGGTGTCGGCGGTCACACGCCGTCGAGTAACCGCGGTTTGGTCTACCACCCTCGAAACGAGTGTACACCACCGTTCTCTGTCCCGTTCGTTGACGAGGGTGAATTTCGCGGGCTAATTTGCCTGAGGATAATTCGTCCCGGCGCGCTGCCCCGACTAATTGTAAGAATCACTGGCGCGGAATCACCGTGTAATTATTTCATAAGGAGTGTTTATTTGCCCGTGTAAAGTTAATTAGAGTGCGCTCGACGCCTTGTATCCGCCAGGAGAAGAAACATTCGTTTAAATCCTTGATTTGAATTCCCGCAACGCTCGTAAAGCCGAGCTTTCGTTAACAGAGTCACTTTGAACTCGAAAATGTTTGATATCTTTTGATCTCGTTCAGACGTCGCACGAGTGCAATCGGATTTCTAGACGGAATAATCTGAAGCGATAAGAAAAATTTACCGAACGGCGTAATCTGATCAAATTTAATTGGACGACGTTTTTGAAATGCCGATGTGACTCCGTCGAATAAAACGCTAGCTCCGTCCTCGTTCCCGACAAGCAGGAACAGATATTCGGACTAGAACTTTGTTGCGAATTTATCGACATCCGGCTGGATTTACTGTTCCCAATTTACGCCCACCTACGATCGGCAAGAAACATTGTTATGGTCTCGCGGAACCGGCTGCGGAATTATTTTGCATAAATTTCACCTTATGACCTCCCGCGCGACTGTCCGCCCCCGTGCTTCTCCCAGAATCGAATTCCGTGAAACGATGATTCTCTCAGGTGCGAACCGGATCCACTGTCCATACCCCCGGGGTAATGACGGGCTTAAAAATTCATGATAACCGAATGAAACGAGTTTACAATTTCCCGCTCCTGGTTTAAGCATGGCACAATTCCGTTAAAGTCTGCCGCGGTAATAACAATGTCGTTACTGAGTGAGATGCGACTCGTAGAATTCTTCGAATCGCTTAGTTAGAAACTTGCCGACGGACCCGCGAATCGAATTCCAACTCCCTGGTAACTATGTTCCCATAGGTCGGAAACTCTGTTATTAACGCGAGTTCCCGGCTCGAATTCGGCCCCAAGATTCGACGCCGGCCGTTAAATTAAAACAAAGCACTCCCGTCAGCGCGCGGAGTTCTTACGGACGATTTAATCCCACCGCCTATTCCGTATTCTGCAGCCAATCGACTTTATAGTAAATTACTAACAGTGAATCATATAACAATAACAATTATTCTACCATGTGTAATTGTCCATGCAATTGGAAACAGTTGAGATATCATTTGAAACGTTACGATTAGTATTACCATTTATTTATTGTTACCGTAATAACGTGTTTAATGTGCTTGTTGCACATAATTGTTCACGGATGGACGATTGTTTACCGAACGGTGTATCGCATCAACAAATCTATTCTGTTCCTTGTGATGAAACACAATAGGTATTGTTAACAACAGTCCTTTCATCCAGGAAGTCGAACGCGTTTGTTAATATTTAGACAGCCCCGATAATTTCATTTCACGTGAACGGGGACTTGGCCCGAGTTCACTCGCTCAGGTCAGGGGTAACGAGTCCTCAAAATTCATTGAATAACTTCGGATTTCCTTTGATCTCCCCAGGCGGAACGTTTTAATGGAAGTTTTCGTTTATTACCGAGAAACTTTTCTTCACCGTGTAACTACTCCTTTGCGGCCCTCGGATCCCTCCTTGTTCCCCCTCACCTTTATCTGATTCGCCGGAAAATCTTTTTCATAGCCGTCTCAACATTTTATTTTCACCCGCTTACGGTTTTACACAGCAGCGGTGTGCAATTTCTTTCACGCGCACAGTTCATCGTACGCTTCCCGGTTTCACATAAACTTTTGCTTTTAATATAATATACAAACGATTAAAAAATTGGATTATATTTCTCTGTAATTAAAACGTACTTTCAGAGATATTGCTTCTGCAGCTTAAATTAATTAATTGGAACACGATCTCTATTTATATTTTAATTAAATCTTGCTTCGAGCACATTATATTTCAACATTTGGAAATGATATAATAAATGGATTCCCTACCATTCGTTAATTACTCTTCTGTAATTTTCCTTGCAATTAGTAATTATCGTGAAAGATATCAAGTGAAATACCGTTCGGTAATTCGAATAAGGTGTCGGGGGCGTCGCGGTCAGCTTTAGATGATAATTTTTTTGCGAAGACGAGAGCGAGGATGCGACCGATGTAATCCGTTTAAACCGGGACCCCGGGGGTGCGACCGGGGCTTGAAAGCGCTGATGGAGAACTTTTTTTCTCACCGGGTGGCTAAATGGGAACGTTTAAAATCCGGCCGACGCGCAAGCGCTTCTCGTTGTATTTTTAATTTACTACTTCCCAGTTGGACACTCTTTCGCCTCCGTTTCTCGCTCGAACAAAACCTTGATACTTTTGCTCCTGACGCTGTTCCACCTACCTATACGCAGCGGAGGGACCGTCCTCTGGGAATTCGGGTCAACCGGAACGCAGGATTACCACCCGTTTTCCTTCCCGTTCCATGGGAACCTTTTATCTAAAGCTTCACGCAATTAAGTCTGCTCTCTTTAACTTTTAGAAAAAGCTTTGTTAAAAAAATCATAATTTGCTACAATTACAAAACCAATCGATGATACTGTAGGCTTTGTTCGTTAGAGCCTGTAAGATTTGTATTTGATTTTCTTACTTTCACAAATGATCTGCGATTTCGCAACAATTATTTCCCTTAAAATTACAATCAAAATACAAGTCGTGGAAAGGAATGGCCCTTACGTCGGCCTCGTAACGAAGTTAATTCATAAGAAACTACGTTCTTTTTACTAACTAAAGTTAATGTTTAAGTATGCATTAACGCGTAACAAAGATTTTTAAGTACATCTATCTACAGCTTGTGGCTGTAAATATTTCCCCTATCAATGGCAGACTGTAAAAAATTGTTCCATTTTTTGTGTTACGAGCGCCTGGACTAAAAGAGGCACTCTTGGTACAGCCGTCCTAGTGTTGAGACATCGAGAATAAATACGAGAGTTGACGATATCAAGTATTTTTGTTACGCCCACGAGCTTTTATTTAAACCGTTCGCCACCCTCTTCATTTTACAGTTAGATTTTTGTTAACCTTACAGATTATAACCAGTGTCAATTAGTGAAATATCCTGACTCATTTCCATTTTTCATACATTTTAAGACACTAGCATCCTACAATACATATAATTTTACAGTCGGTCTGTGATCTCGGGACGATTGGAAAAAGGGATATCCTAGTCGTGTCATAGATTAGAGATCCATTTAATTTCGCTGGAAACACTTTGGCAACCAGCCGTTCGCTCCTTAACGAGCTTCTGATCGGACGTTAAGTAAAACCGGGAACGCAGACGCAGAATCGATGAGTCAGACGATCGAGGCGGCGTGACCACCGCATAGAGGGAATCCTCTTGAATAATTCAAGTCGCGGGTAGCTAGGGGAACACTTAGAACGCGCCGAAATCCCACTTCCCAAATCGAACCCATCCATTCCGCCCTCGTACGCGTGCCAGCCGAGCCTTTCTTGAACGTGCCTGATCTATAGCTACATCGCCGTGGATCGTTTTGATAACGTATCAATTTCCTGTCCATTTTCCGCGGATGCAACAGCGAGGCTCGTGAATCACAGCCTGGTTATTATTATCAAGCGAACCGAGTAGTACGGCTGCCGTTGCTAAAACGCTCGTTGGACAAAATATCATCCGGCACTGCCTAGGAAATTTAGTGACCCGATGAAAAAATTCATTGACCACGGTTTGACTCTGGGCTTGATACAGTGACGTGCGGTTTCGACCGTCCTCTATCCAATGTGAAAATTAATCTTCACTGTGGAAATTTATGATACGATATTCCCCGATAAAATACCTCATCGTCAGACTGCGGATTTTTATGCGAAATATAGCTTCCGCGTTATAAATTTAAAATACGATATGACATTTAATATTTGAATATCGCCATACCTGCTTTTTATTTAATACAATTAATATTATTAATAAAGGAATTCAACTTATTAACGATTCATTCATTATAAACATTCATCACTCAACACTCATCATATTCAATAATGAAATACTATTAATAAATTTATATACATGAAATTATTAAGTTTCCCTGTTGAACTAATATTACTCTATAGAAAAGTTTATATAATGGTTAATAAGAGAACTTTACGGTTTCGCTAAAGACAGATGTATCGTTTAATACTTTGAGTCGTTATCCGGGATTTAGAGTCTTGTAACGAGGAGAAGAAATAGTCATCGGAGAATCGTGTTCTGTCGTGAACTGGCTTTAAACGAACGGAAAACTCGGACGCGGGGAACTTGTTTACGTGGTGTCGAAGTTTCGCGTTAATCTTTCTGCGGTGGTGAAAGTTTACGAGGAGATTACGAAGGAATAGTGTGACGAAGACCAACAAGGTTACATCTTTTCAAATCCTGAGCAATATCAAAGAATCTAATTCAGTGTCGTATAAAAAATCATGCAATGAATCATAGGAAATGTTCAGAATTGTTGGACATTATAAAATGTAATAAATGAATATGTGTATACATTTAAGGATGTATTGGCTATATAGGCAATCCCAAACGTTTATGCACTTTAGAAACGCATTTTTTAAAAAGAAATCAGACGTCGGAAGAACATTGCTAATAATAAACAACAAAAAAAAATTTTCGATTTTTCCGAGATTTTTCCAAGGGGTACCCCTTCAGATTTTCAGAAATTTTCGTTTTTCCTCAATAACTCCCGAACGGAGGGACGTAGAGGAACGTATGTACGCTCATTCTGTAGGGGACGACGAGATCTACAATTTCCATGTAAAAATTCTTCGCTAGCGTCAATAGTTTACGAGTAATTTGCAAAAAACTGTTTTTTCGTTTTTCGTCAATAACTCGTAAACTATAGACGGACGTCTGATTTCCTTTCAATTATAGAAAATGCGTTTTTCTAAGGTACATAAACTTTTGGGATTGACTGTATAGCCAATACATCCTTAAGAGCTTTCGATTGAGAATGGAACTCCTGTTGCAGCATGCAGCCAGCTGTCCAGATCGGTCCAGGGAATCTTTGGCCCGTCCGATCCTCTTCTAGGCGCTCACATCCAAAGTATATGCGAGGCCCTCGACGTTCCTCACTTAGAAGCCAGAGTCGACTTCGAACCGACGTTCAAGGAGTTCAGCATAAATCTGTATCCCGCGCAGGATCACTTAAACAAGGCCTTCAAGGATCTCATGTCCTTCCTAAACTGGACCAGAGTGGCAATCATTTACGAAGAAGATTATGGTAAATCATTAACAATTTATAAAATTATTAAAAAGTCAATCTGATAAACTGCTTATTCGTATTGCATCTTCCTAAGCATATTTGTAATCGCATAAGAATGACTGTTAGCTTCGAATCAAATTTTGAACGGGTACAAGGAATTTTTTGCAAGCATAGGAGTGGCTCTCGTAGAAGTCGCAGAACAGAGCTTTGTTTTTCTTTTCAACGCGACGTGTTATATACCCTAGACTAGTCATTACCTGTCTTTCTCTTCTTTTTTTTTTTTTTTGCTGTATTTTTTGCGTCGTGTCGGACCGACGGTATGCAAATAGGACGCCCGAATCAACCGACGGAAGTGGATGTCGGCGCGACGCTGAAATGTCAGCCTGTCAACCACACGCCAGCGCAGTCGGGATGCTCCGCGTTTAAAATCGCGCGATTCCTCATCCTCGTCTATTCTTGTTTTTCCCGCTTCGTTTTTTGACGAACCCGAAACCGGATAACGAACCTCGGATCCCGGATGGTATTAGCAGAGTTAAGAACAAGACGTTCAACTTCCCGGGGAAATTAAATAACTCCACCGAATCGTGAAGTTGCAGTTTCACGGTCGGGAGTCTTTAAAGTTCCAGCTTGAAGGTCGCGGCTTGTTTGACTTCAGAGTTTCAGGCATTTTGCGAATGTGATTGACGTTCCCTAAGCTTTCGACTTACGAGTTCGTGTGAACAACTCGAAATCCAAATAGCAAACTTCAATTCTAAATGGTAGCATGCTCGAACAGAATTTGTCAAAATGTCAGTCTTCGGATATATTGATAAAATAAAATGTTGAAACATGACTCTATTAACACTAGATTGCCCAAGGAAGTCATTTTGACTGCTTTTGGGCAAATGTACAAATAATAATGCATAAATTATTTTTTCTCAAGTGAAGTAAATTTTTTTTTTATTGTTAACATTTACTAATAACTTGTTATATGACTGTAAATAATATAAAAA